ACTATAGTATATGACAAGGCAATGATGGTGCCTGTTGTGGCTTTGAACATCGTGGTTATTATGACGTGGAGCAGAGACTCCTAAGGCTTGTGAAACTAATGATCATTGTAACATTTTCCCCTTTCTTTTTTCCCCTCAATACACTCTCAGAACTGCAGTCCTCTTTATTTAAGTGTTCTTCATGCACATTAGTGCTAATCATTATCTTAAACAGAATATTCAAGGTTAAACTTTTAGTCAGAGGATAACAGATTGAATTAATCGTATAATATCGTGTCTGTAGTGAAAGTCTCTGCTTGCACAGATGATGAGATAAAGAGAATTATGAACAGATGAGAGCCAAAGGCATCTACTTTATCTACTGACAGCAAAGGAACACCTTCATGCCCAATCAGTCCCTGCTAATGAGACAAGATGGGGCAAGATGGTGAAACAGCAGTCACAGGCAAACTGTCTTTTTCCATCTTAGCAGCCTGGAAACTATTAGTGCCAAACTTAATGCTTTATTAGGAAAGATAATTTATGCTTTGGTACAAACTAGAGAGCATTTTATGAAATAGAAATATCTGTAATTTTAAAAGTCTGTGACGACATGTAAATTAAAAAAAAAGGCCTGTCAAAACGAATTGTTTTATCAGACTGCTCATTTTGAACCAGAATTCAACCAAGCCAGTTCAATAAAACAGAAGAGTGGCTGCGGCAGTAGCTTGTAGTTCTGAAGGCAGCAGCGTGGGGAGTAAACTGACTTTGAGTGTGCTTGTAATGACCGTTGTTTTTGACAGGTTTGATGTGTTCCTTTCGTGTCTTCAGTTCCCTTTTAGTTAAAGCCTCCGATGCTCCTGTTTTAACCAGCGCCATTCCCAGGGGATGGGGATGGACGCTGGAGGTGTTATGGACTCAAGACCTAGAGGGCTACAGTCCAGGGGATGCACCCTGTCCTCTTTCCCCCTACTTGGACTCCAAGAAACAGGGTACAGGGGAAACACAAGAGGCAGTCGTGAGAGGAGAGGATGCTTTGGCAAAATGAAGGACTATGTAGTTCCATCCTTTTCTTCACTTTTGGAGACGGAGGCCCACCGGGTTACTGGACAGAATAGTAACCTGTTTCATGAGAATATCAATGCTGGATTTCTCTTTCGGCACACTGGTTTTAAGTAACTGGGGTCCGTGAGCGAGAGAATACAGACGGAGGATGGATGTGAACAGCATACAGACTGTCGCTTATCTTTTTGATTTGTGTATAAGTTTGGCAGTGAGCTCATATTTACTGGGTTTGTTGTTTGCAGATTTTTAAGTAATTTTAGAAGAATATTTCCATTTTGTAGAAAGGTTTGTGATGAAGAAAAGATTATAGAATGAAAAGTACATCATATTTGACTTGCAAAATGTGATTCAGCTCCTTCAGTTCATCATTCCTTTTAGAAATGATGCAATGTGACCTAGCCATATGGAGCAACATTTGATCACAAACCACAAGGAACTGAATGACAAGCTAGAGGAGGTTTTTTTTAGGTTTAACACAGGTCCCCAGCAGTAGAAAATGAATGCAATTAAGTCCCAACAACACTGTTTGCTATCTTTGCACCTCCACTGCACCTAAAGTCAGTCACAGAGTCATTTTACTGTCAGCCAGAAGAATATGAAAATCTTGTAAAATCTTGTAAAATGAAATTGTGAGGCAGCGATTTATCATGGCGACCACAACACAGGAAAGCCTTGAAAATTAAGTAACGAATTAAACCAATGAATAACTACTGAATGTATATTATATAACTACTGTATATACCCTATCATGGTTCCTTATCTGGTTCCCTGAAGCATTGTTTAATTTTTCTGAGAATTGAGTGGTGCTACATGGTTTATTATTTGTCATTCACTAATTTTCTGCACATCTCCTGGGGATTTCCTGAAAAATCTCATTTGTAAAGCATTTTCCAGAGCAAAGTTTCTCCATCTTGTCACAGTCTAATTTCAAGGAACTGTTTCTGTACAAAGACCCTTTACACTGGGCAGAATAATTAACAGCTGGCAGCATTCTCATGTGCGTTTTGGTGTCCTGTTGCGGTTTTATTACCTATATCAACATGTCATAACATCATGTCAATTAAAACTTAAATATAGGTATATGGTAATTCTTCTGATTTGATAAGAATAACTCTTCATGCATACAGTAAGTATCCAGGGACATCAGGCTGGACCTCATCTCAAAGCTAAGCTAACTAATAAATGCATGGTGTAATCCCTCCATGTGGTACAGGGACAAAGTGTGGCTTTCCCTGCAATGCCAGTAACCACTCACACAGCTGAGAGGACTGGAGCAATTAGAGTGAAGCACCTTGTTTGAAGGCATAACAGCAGTGCATGAAGCAGGAACGTGAGCACTAAAAACTATTGTATAATGCCTCAATAATCAGCAGTCGGGATTTAAACATCCTTGTTAGCAAAATAATTTCTAGAAACATTTTCTTGTATTTATTAAAATCATTATTTTTTGAAAGTTCCTCAACATAAATTTGAACAATATCATTTTTTGTCTTTGCTTTTTCATATGTTTTGTCCTAAGGTTTTAATGCTTTCCTTTCTACTATCCTGGACTATCTTGTAAGTTTATTCCAATCAAATTCTGTTTGTGAGGTGGCATTTCCTAACCTGCATCCTAAAGTGCCATAAGGAATACAGAAAATAAAAAGTAATTAAAAGAGCATTTAAAACAACAGAATGTGTATTTACATAGAACAAGAAAACTAAGATTGGTTTAATGATTTTTCATAAAATAAAAGTAGATGAGTTTAAAAATATTTACTGATTTTAAATTTGGACAAGAATTTCATGGCTTATGTACATAAACAGAAAACAATTCTTGCTTACCCATAGTTTTGAACCTAATTTGTGTTACGAACAGCTGAATAGCAGCTGCTCACCATAAGGTGTGAAAGACAGAGCATATGTCTTCAAATGTTCTCTCTGCAAAGCCTTGGTAAATTAATAGATTTTAGAATCCTGTTTTACAGGTAACTAGTGCAGTGATTGCAACAGAGAAGTGACAGGAGAAACTGACTGTGAGGACATGAGCCCGCACTGGAGACTTTTGACTGATTCTAGAAAAAACAAAGATGTGGATAAGTACTCATCATCAGACATAAATAAGCAGGAAGTGATTTGAGCAATATTTAATAAAAACAAGTCTTTAACTGTACTCGGATTATTGTGAATTGCAGGGCGATATACAGTAGCTGCTGGCAAATTTATATCCTTTATAGAAATGTTTATCCTGATTTTATATCCTGGTAGCATGATATTAACAAGGATCCAACTGTTGGAGCTTCTGGGTAAGGTAATACTGAGTGATGTCAGTATACAAATGATTATTTTCAGCAAATTCTAATTCTTGATCCCTTTATGTAAGTACTTTGGATTAAATGGTAAAAACCTCTCATCTCATTTTTAACTGCTTATACCTGATGAGGGCTGAAGAGGTCATAGGCTGATCAGGTCAGACCAGACTTCCCTTTCCCCAAAAGTCTCCTGGGGGGATTCCCAGGCACTTCCAAGCCACCTGGAAGACATAATTCCTCCAGAGTCTCTAGGGTCTGCCCTGGGGTCTCTTCTCAGTGGACCATACCTGGTAAATCTCGAGTGGGAGGCACCCTGGAGAACTCATCTCCCCTCAGCTGGGTCCTCTCGATCCAGAGGAACAGTAACTCTACTCTAAAGGTCCTCCTGGACTACCAAGTTCATCACCGTATCACAGAAAGTCAGCCCAGCAGCCCTACAGAGAAACCTCGTTTCTGCCACTAGTGACCGCAATCTCATTCTTTCACTTACTACCCAAAGCTCGTGACCATGGGTGATGATAGGGACGTAGATCGACTGGAAAACCAAGAGCTTTGTCTGAAAATTCAACCCCTGCCTCACCAAAACAGTTTGGTACAGGGTCAGCAGGACTTTAGCTGCTGAACCAATCCGCTGGTCAATCCCACAATCCACTTTGCTCTCACTCGCTACAGTACATAATAAATAGTAACAGCCAGAACAATATACTGTATACGCTGTAGAGAACAATAAATATGTGGTAGATAAAAAAATGGGATGTCAGGCAGGAGTGGGACTGATCTGGACTTCAGGTATTATCCTAAAATGGAGATAAAAAAATTTAAAACTTATCAAAAACCAAAATTGGATTTTAGGAGGCATAGATTAGGGTATAAGTGAGTTTTTTTGTAGTAAACGACCATTTTAAATGTCATTGTCAACGTAACCTTCTGGGCTCATGTTTGCAGTGTTACAAAGACTCTTGTTTGACATTCCCAATGATGAAAAAATGGTTACTTTCATCACACCTGGAATAGATTCCTGTCCTATTTTGTATTTTGTACTTTTTTCTTTTAAAGGCAGGTGATGGTATTATGATCAGAATGATGTCCTTTGTATTATAACAAGAAACAAATCTCAAGACTGCATTTCACCTGTTTTAAGTGAATACCACAGTGAGATTTGGAGCTGAATTTCAGATTTTATTTCTTACATAGTGAGCCATGTAACATATTTTCTAGTGAAGGATTGTTTTTTTAATATATTTTATGTACCACCATGATAATCTTAAAATTATAGCAATCAAGTTACTTGTAAACTTATTCCTGCACTTGATGTGTATCCCAGTGGTTACTCAAAGCACCTTCAAAATAAGTTTTTGATAACAAAAAGACGAGAAAGGAAAGTCCAGCTGCTAGAAGAGTGGGTTGCATGGGAAGGAGAATTTTAATTTCTGTTATCTGGCTAAAAAGAGAGCTCTGACAGGCAGGGGCGGATTAACGAATAGGTTAACATAGGTTGTAGCCCAGGGGCCCCGGATTGATCAGGGCACCTGATTGGCCGGGATATTTTTTTTAAACGGACCTCTGGGCCCCCATTGGTCCATAAAAACGTTGAATAATTTGTGAACCAATGATTGGTTAGATGCAATGGGTTCGCAGTTCAAATTTATTTTGGCGGATTCATCGAGTGATCTCTGGTGCAAATTTACGGTAGCCAGCCTCACAATGTGCGAACAGCACGGCGGTTGAAAGAGCAGGATCTACTTAAAAAGATCCCCAGATTGACTGGTTATTTCAAGTTTGCTGAACCGGACCCCGATCCTGGGTTTACGGCTGACATTGCGGCCAGTGCTACCACAACCGCGGTTGAAAAAGTGAGCTGCAGCGAGCTCTAGCCTGGGCGCAGTCCACATCCACGCCGCTCATGAGGACGAGCCAGCTCCCGCAACGGGATCAAAGGAGCAGGAGTCAGAGGCAGAGCCATCTGAAACGCCACCACCATCCCCACAAGACCAACGAGCCGTGTCCGAGCCGGAGCCATGGCTGTTGCACCTGCTGCCGTGGAGCTAACAGAGACTGCAACAGCAGCTGCCGCTTCCTACGGCTCGGACCCAGCACGCTGGGGTACAATAGATGGACAGATGCGGGCATACTGGGCTAGATGGGGCCCCCGAAATCGTGTCAAAACCAAGACGCTAGATGTTGCAGCGTCGGAAAGACGACGAACTCCAAAAGAGGTATTTCTATAAAGCCCTCTTCAAAAGGAAACTCGGAAATGGCGAGTGTGTCAGGAGAATGGCTGCCGTATTCTCCTTGGAAAGGTGCAGTGCTTTGTTTCGCATGTAAATTATTTGGGGACGGCGATGATCAGTCCGGACTGACCGCAGGCTATAGTGACTGGAGAAATGCCGCCGCCGCACGCTTGGCTGAACACGAAGTGTCGGAGCGCCATAGAAAGGGTATGGTTGCATACGTTATGCGCTGTGCTGAGAATGGGCTAATAGATTCAGAACTAAGAAGACCGTTTGACAGTGAATATGAGTATTGGACTAACGTCTTGAAAAGGGTGGTTGCGGTGTTGGAAGTTTTTAGCAGAGCGAAACGTTCGGGCGCCAGGACAACGGGAACTTCATGGGTGTCCTCGAAGTTATCGGCGAGTTCGATCCCTTCTTGAAAACCCACATAGAGAAAGATCTAATCGTCGATGCCGTGTATGGACTGTTTTGAGTCTATTGACTGCAATGGACTTGCGCGAATTGGGGGTGTCCTGCTGTTCTTGAAATAATGCGCTCGAACAGGGTGCTCATTGGTCTCTGCTGTGCTGATCTCGTCGTTGTGTATCGTCGGTTTCAAAGTAAGCGTGCGCATGATTTCTGTTGTCAGCTCGCAGACTGGCTGTGAATCTGATTTATTGGTTGCATTGCTGTATTTACATTACAGGCTATTGTAGTGTGTGTGTCTATCTGGGCTCCCTGTGTACGTGTGTGTTCCTGCCGAGTTACATTAATCCCCTTGTTTAATAATCTTTAGACTGGGTAGCAGTTCTTACCTTGAGTTCATTCCAAGTGCACATAAATCTTATATAACAGCAATGCTAGCTACATTTCTAATGATTCTCATTCAGGTAAAAAGATTGTGCTTTCACAGCTTTTCCCAGGCACCTGGAAGCAGTATCACTATGAATTAAGCCAATTTAACAAAATCATGAATTCTCCTTACTGCAAATCCAGCTATAGACCACTGTAAAGTGGCATCCAACGAGTCTGAAGTTACATCCTCATTTTTCCTTATTACAACTAGTTTGATCATTTTATGAAGTTGCTTTCTGCTTATCTTTGCAATTGACCTAATGTACCCAAGCAGAACACGTTGATCAGAATAGAAAATGTTAATGTAAATCAAGTTTGCTATTTCTTCCACACTTGGATTTATTTAGGATAAATTGTCTAAATATCTTCATTATTTTAATTTTGAATTGATTTCAGAAATTGATAGTGTATTTTACAAGGTGTCCAATGTATTCACTGGGGTACTGTATAAATGTTCTTTTTGGCAAATCATGATAATAAGCTAAAATATTTCGGATTAAATCTGATTGTCATGGAAAAACATGAAAATGATCTTCAGTAGATAGTGAAGGGTGGCCTCTCTGAATGTTTGTTTTTCTCTGCCCTTTAGAAAAAACAAAACTATTTTCCTTGCATATTTGAAATCTGTCTTGATTACGCTGCCATCTAGTGGTCAAAAGTAAGGCTGTCTTCTCTCGTTTTAACAAAGTAAAAAATACGATATGAGATGGCTAAAGTACACTCTGGACTTGCACAATATGAAAAACCTGTAGTCCACTTTTTAATTCAGTCAAGACATTTCTCACCTCTCTTCCTCATCTGATGTGTAGTAAAGCTATTGACCAGAAAGACAACTATCCATCACTCTGATGGATGCTGTACATCAATCAGTATGGGATGAAATGGGTCACCACTTACATGTAAAGAGTTTCCTGATCATTCAGGATAAAAGGGTTAAATACAGTTTTAAGGAATTTAAAATTAGAAACTAAATAAAGTATCCTTAAACTTTTTCATAATGCTGTGAATGTTTACCATCAACTGGATAATGGCATTCTCTCTTTTGTAAATCAATGTAAGTTAATGATTCCTTCTATGCATGTTGCTTTCCACTCAATGGTTTCAGCTGTTGTCTGCTGCACAGGCATTACAGCTCTATCACATGTCTGTTATTAATCAATGAACTTGCTTATCTGGGATATTAGTTTGGCCTGAGAATGGCTTTTTGCATTGCCATTATTGTGTCCGTGGCCACTGAGAAGAGTTTTGCACACCTCTGTTGCTCTTAATTCTTTTATTCACCTTTTGTAGGTTTCCACCTCCTTCCAGTTTTCTAAAGTTGTATTACCAGGAAACAAATGTCATGAGTTTGTCACATGATTTTATGCTTTGTCTGCTCATGAACAGGATATGCAACATTCAAAAGTACAATTTAAAAACCTTTGAAGTATGGTTCAATGGAGTATGGAGTTTTTCTGAACAGGACTATAGACTAAAACCTGTCATTTATATTGCAGATTTGTTCTCTGTAGTCAGACACTACACAGGTGAAGAACTGATTTTCATATAACTTTCACTTCTAAAATATGTTTAGTTTGTGATTGGCAGTAAAGGATGAAATACAAATAAAGATAATAGAACAAGTAATAAGTTTATTCCATGCTGAAAAAAAGAAGAAAGAGAACACAGATAATAGAGACTGGTGTTTGTTTGCCTTGGATAAGGGCATTTGCAAAGCAAAATAAATATGAAATAGAAGACAAAGATAACCGATCTAAGAAAAGGAGATCAAAGTTACAAACAAAACATCTCGAAGATCTCTTACATTCAGATTCTGATGAATGTTACCCAAGACAGCTGTTCATGTGAACCATGTCTTGATCAAAAAGAAATATCAGAGGATCTTAGAATTGTAGAGATGCAGAAAGCTTGAACAAGCTACAAAAGCATTTCTGAAGACGTGGGTGTTCATCAATTCACAGTAAGACAAATTGTCTACCAATGGAGGAAATTCAGTACTGTTGCCACTCTCCCTAGGAGTGGGCGTCCTGCAAAGATCAGGGCAAGAGCGCAGCGTGCAATGCTGAAGGAGGTGATAAAGAACCTGAGGGTAACCGCAAAGGATCTGCAGAAATCTCTTGAACTTGTCAAAGTCTCTGTTCATGTGTCCACTATAAATAAAACACTGACCAAGAATGGTGTTAATGGAAGGACACCGTGGAGGAAACCACTGCTCTACAAAAATAAACATTGCTGCATGTCTCAAGTTGGCAAAAGACCACCTGGATGTTCCACAATGCCTCTGGGACAATGTTCTGTGGACGCATGAGACAAAGGTTGAACTCTTTGGTAGAAATGCGCAACGCTATGTGTTGAGGAAAAAAAGCACTGCACACTAACACCAAATTCTCATCCCAACGATGAAGCATGGTGGAGGGAGCATCATGGTTTGGGGCTGCTTTGCTGCCTCAGTGCCTGGACAGCTTATCATAGAGGGAACAATGAATTCAGAATTGTATCAAGAACTTTTACAGGAGAATTTCAAGATAGCTTCAGGTGACGGAGCACCTAGAGGCTGGGTGATGCAACAAGACAATGACCCAAAACACAGGAGTAAATCAACAGCTGAATGGCTTAAAAACAAGAAAATTTGTGTTCTGGAATGGCCAGCTCAGAGTCCTGACGTCAACCCAATTGAGATGCTGTGGCATGACCTAAAGAGAGCTGTTCATGCAAGGAATCCCAGAAATACCAATGAACTGAAACAGTTTTGTAAGGTAGAATGGTCTAAAATTCCTCATAACTGTTGTGCAAGTCTCATCAGCAGCTACAGGAAACATTTGGTGGAGCTTATTGCTGCTAAAAGAGGTTCTACCAGTTACTAAATACAAGGGTTCACATACTGTTTCCAGCCTGTACTGTGAATGCTTAAATTCAGTGTTCAGTACTGACAAGAAGTACAATTGTTTGTGTGTTATTAGTTTAAGCAGATTGTGTTTGCATATTATTGTGACTTAGTTGAAGACCACATTTTTATGAGTAATTAATGCAGAAATCCAGGTAATTCCAAAGGGTTCACAAACTTTTTCTTGCAACTGTAAGTGGTTTCTGGGTGGAGGTAGCATAGCATTGTGCCATGGGAAGAATTACAATGATGCTGTGAATTGTGTTCTACGTGACGTTTGTGACACAGGCAGAGGGGTGATGTGCATGCAGGTAAGCTGTGATGCAGGCAAATAGTCCAGATGTGTGGTACAAAGCTGGAGAGACAGAGGTACAGCACAGTGAAGGCATTCCACGATCATAGTCAAGACAAGCAGGCAAGGTTTGTAGCACAAGATATAGTTCCATTAAGATCCAGCCTCTTGTTCACACTGTGCCCCAATGTGTTCTCTTTTCACCCTTGGCCCCATTCTGCCAACATCTGGCCCCTGAGTTGCAATAGCTGAATTCTCATTCTGACTATTCTGTGTATAGGGCACTGTTGACTGAACTATTTTATATGACTGATCTAAGCAAGTCTCTACATCAGTATGTCAATCTGGACTCTAACTGCTGTTCCTGATGCTGGTCGGTCTCTCTTCTTTGAGGTTCCACTCCCCTACTGTAGCAACCAAACGTGCCCGATGAGTTGAAGGACAATCTCACATTCCTGAAGTTTCTAATGCATCTTTCAATATTAGAGTAGTTTTTTTTTTTGTATTTGAAAACAAATGTTGAGGTGCATCTTTTTATCCGTGACTGTATTTAGCACGATTTGTGGCCGACTAAGTATTTAGGCTTGTGAGACTTATACAAAGATGAGATGCTTCTGACACAAGATTAGAAAGGTAAAAGATCACCCTTGTCAACCTTTAAACCCCTGATATTAACATTTATAATGTTCTTGTTGCTGCAGAAAGTCCCCTTAGTGGATCACAGTTGCTTTAAAAAAATATAGATTGACTTACAAAACTTTAATCTGTATAAATGATGTTAATGCGATTTAAATATATATATATCACCTTTGTTTTAACTTTGGTAATTGAAACAAAACAATGAAAAAATAGTTTCAAACTGGTTCATGTATATTAAAAAGGAATAAGAGACTATGTACTATACATCTTGTTTCCATTTCAGGCTTTGCCTTTCATATTAAGTTTTACTCATGCTGTATGATATTGTAGTCT